AAGACACACTATGAAGACGTCTTAGGACATTTTGAGGCATGTCTTAAGAAATTAAGACGTGTCTTTAAGACATGTATATAGACACGGATCTTAAGATGTCTTGGCAATAATAACATCCCAAGATGTCTCAAGATGTAGGATGTATAATACGTATTTTTAAATTTTACCTACATTTTTTTTTTAAATAAATCTTTTACTTTTAAATATTTTTAAAGGAATTTTAAAATGTAACATTATTTATAGCAAAAATTCTAGTAATTACATTTTTTTCATTATTTAATTTTGTTCTATGTAGGATGCATAATGGTATCACATTTTAAAATACATACATATATATATATATATTGTATATTATTTTATAAACATACAAACATTACATACATTAGTACATACTACATTTATACATTTCAAACAAATTTAACAACAAAAGTAATAATAATAATAATAATAATAATAGGCACATGGTTCCCAGTCTGTAACTTTCTCTACAATAAGCCATTTTATATGAAACCACTAAATCACTTTGTTTACATCGCAATGACAGAATCAAGTTTACAAAAATGTGGAATTCGCCTTTACATGTTTCTGTTGCATTAGAAAAGTTTATGGAATCAGTGAAAATTTATTTGTGAGTTCAGACCATGCCTTAAACATGGTGGTAGTATGAGGGAAGACTCTTATGCAACTATTTTGTAATACAGCATTGCTGCAAAATTTAAAAATCTAATTCAGTTCTTTTAAATACCTTTTTATAGTAATTAAACCTTAATGTTTTAAAAATGTGTTAAAGATACATTTTTTTACAATTACTATTTTACAGGTATAGTTTTATTAACTTTTAAAATAATAATAAGAAGGAGAACAAAGAACAATAATAAGTATGCATAAATTACAGTAATGTAATTTAAAGGGGTACTTTTTTACAATTTTGTATTTCCTTGTTAATCTGTTAAAAATTCAGAATACTTCTACATTCAAGTAATTTACTCTGCAATCCAAAGCATAGCCCATGAAAAAGCACCCACAGAGCTTTCAAGAAATATAGATTACAGTTATTGTTTATTGTTTTTACAACTGTGTATATGCATAGTACAATAGCGTCATCACACTTGATATGTTCTACAGATGGGGAAAAACATGTTAACTGACTTTGGGTAGAAATTTGAAACATACTGCAATAAATACACTGATTTTAAGGTCTGCTGTTGCTCCGTATATAAGTTAGGCTAAAGTTATTAGCAATATAGTATTATGAACAATTATAAATGATGGGAAACAATTTTAAGACGAATTCATATGGACTAAAAAGAAAAACTGACCAACAGAGTAATACAGAGGTCTGAACCCCAGCAGCAATCATAACATACTTGAGCCAGGTAATGATCAGCTGTCAAACAATTAATACCAGACTCAGATGTGCTGGTAGCTGGAATAGAGCCAAGCTGTGGACATTTTATGTGGACATACGTGGACACAAGAAACAGGACACAGATAACTCAATGTGCATATGTCCATGCCATAATGCCTGAACACTAACATTACTGATATCACACTGCTAATGTTACCGATCTCTCCTTTTAGAGTTAAATCCGTGATGAGTGAGAGAACTGTCAGATTCACAGCCCATCACTTCTTCCTCTGTTTTTTCTCAGTGTTGGTCTTCTTTGTCAGAGATGTGAGGAAAATGTATCTGTTAAAAAATCAATTTTAAGACAATAAATTTGAAATTACTTTTGGATCTGCATACACAAGCAGGCTGAATTTAAAGGGACCTATTATGCTAATTTCCAATGTTCATAAATTTATTTTTGGGGTGGACTATAATACATTTACGTGCTTCGGTGTTCCAGAAACACATTATTTTTCTCATACTGTAAATCTCTACTCACCCTCTGTCTGAAACGCTCTGTTAGAGCTCCTGTGTCTTTAAGCCCCTCCTTCCTGATGAGCCCAGTACGCTCAGATTAGTTAGCTCGCTCACTTGGCTCTGACTGATCAAGCGCCAGAGTGGTTCCACCAATGCACAGCCTCCGGTAGATGCGTTGCGTTGTGTGAGGGCATGCCAAGCTTGCTGGTAGGTGGGCAATAAGGATTACATCATCTTGTAACAAAGCAAAAGGGCTGGGGAACTCCAGCCCTCAGGCAGCTGAGAAAAGTGGTTTCTGTGGGAGAGAGTTTCTCCCTCTGGCATATACTTTCAGCTTTGTATCTTACACGCACAAAAAGCTACATAACATACTAAATAAAAGGGAAAGCATTATATATTCCCTTTATAAATAGAATATAATGTACAGTATACATAATTTTACTCATCTAAAATCAACTCTGACATTTAGTACACAAAGAAATGTGACAAGGCTTTAAATAATACCTATGCATGAACTCCAGCGTGGCACCCAGCTCACACACATAGCTGATGTTCAGACAATGATGTTCAGTGTAATGAAAGAAGCACCAGGATGAGGCCACTTGGGTAAGAGCACAGTTGAGTGTTGAGAATGATATGGACTGCCACCGTACTGAATGAGGCCCAAAGAGAGGATGTTCCTTTGGAAGGATTGAAAACAACAAAGTTGATTAGATAATTCACAATTCTATTGTTTTCATCCTCTAACATGCCTCAGTCAACACGTGACAGAAATGATCATTTGCTGTTGAGGCAGGTGTGAGCTTAGTACTGATATCTGTATCTGTTAAAAGCTGTGTTAAAGGAGAATTACACAATTTTTAGGCACAATTTCATCATTAAGATGCAAAAAAGTAGTTTGATACAAAATGTTCCATTGTGGAAAAACTTAGAGTCAGAGTTGTTCACAGTGGCAGTGACAAGAACCAGACGTCTGAAGAGTAAAATGCCTCTAATCTCTCACAGAGAATTATTACATGAAATGATTATTAATAAGAGCTAAACTCTATTAGATCATGTTTACCACATGCTGTATTCTATAAATTGTAGGGCTCTGAGACTTGCAGTATTACACATTAAAGCACTGTGAAGAAGTAAATTCATAAATATTGATACAGTGTTGGTGATATTGCCATATCGATATTTTGAACACAGCTGTAGTGGCAAGTAACATATTAATAAATTGAACGAATAAAGCGCAGATATTTGAGTACTGTAACCCGGCTTTACCTAAACATTCTGCTCTTCTGTATTACAATAAATACTTCATGAAATATATTTGTTTGAAATACCCACCAAATCTAAACATCTGTCTGACATTCATATAGTTTTATTTAAAAAATAAGACTTGAGTCTCACCAGTTGCTCAGCTTCAGATGATTTCTGATGAGAAACATCTAAAACAAAACAGACGCATGAGGTAAATGCAGCAAAACAATAATAACAGCAAAGCATAACAATGAACTTAAACACAAAACAAACGGGTCATTATATATTACTAATAAATGTAGCCGAGTAAAACGTAGATTATTAATCTAAAGCACAAATAATACATTTTAAAAATACTCTGGAAAGTACAAATCCACCAAGACGTTACTGGAGTAAATGTAACTGAGCAAATTAAGATTATTACTCCCCTCTCTGAACTACACAGACTGACGGACTGTGTTCAGTTTCATTGTTGTATTGTTCAGTGTGCTGACCCTGCTGCACTGTGATCAGTCTTAGATTTAATTCTGAGGCAGCCTTTCATTTGTTCCAGCAACCTAAATGCTTCACCTGACTGATTCTGCTGCACACTAGCATAACATCTCACCTGCCCATCCTCCAAACCTTATGAGCGTCCATGGCTGCACTGCTGGTTGAGACAGCTGTGCAGAGCTGAAGCTGGGCGGTCACTGTGTTTACAGTGCGCTGCTGGTAGAGACAGCTGACAAGCTGCTTAGCCGCTAGCTAGCTAACTATACGCTAACCTACCGCTGGTGTCTTCACTCGGCAGATCGACCCAGAAATACAGAAATACTCCAGCTGACCGTTAGTGAGGCTGCTCATCTCATTCGGTCACTACTCACCTTTTAAAAGCAGACTCTGACCGTTTCAGTCGTGACTCCAGTCGCCGCTCCACTCGGTCCAGTCAGTTAACCTCAGTCAGCTACGCAGCTGAAAATCCTCGTTTCTGGGAGCTGAAAGCGTCACCCGGCAGGCGGCGCTGTCTTAGTAAGGAGTGTTAGAGAGTCTTATCAGGTTTAACACTCGCTGAACAAACTCGATAAACTGCCCGCGTTAGCGACCTGAGAGACTCGCTCACTGTAAACGGCTGTAACGGTCGCGCTTGGCTTTAAACGGAGGAACGGCGGAGAGCGCTCGCGCTTCAAAACCGAACGTCCAAGCGGCGGAGTCTCGCGCTCTAATTGGTCTAAACTCCCGCCAGTCTTTTGTTTGTCCTCCTATAGAGCTTTTTTTCTGGTTCGCGCCTCTGCTGTACTGAATGAACTGTGCTGTTTTGTTTTTGTTTGTTTGTTTGTTTGTTTGTTTTTGATCTAGACAAGATTAATCTAGACAAAACTGCAAACTCTTGAAATACATAAGACAGCTGTACAGGATTATTATACAGCATCACTGGAGGCCATGTCTTAATATACTAAAGCCAAAGTATGAAGTTGGACATTTAAACAAAAATCTGTTTATTATGTAATTTTACATGGTGAAACAATATAGATCTTTATATAACTACTCAAATACATTTGTTTATTATTGTTCGTGTTTTCCAAATACCTGGAGATAATCATTTTGAAAGTTATACATAGTATATTAAAAAGTTTGTTCTCTCTTTCTGTTGGGCCAAATTAAAACTCCTAATGGTCTAACTGTGGGCAGCCCTGATCTGCTTAAGAAAATAAACAGAAGTGTAGATGTTGAAGAGAGTGAACCAAGGGCTTTTTCTGCATTAGGTTTTGGTTGTATGTGATCTCTAAAGTACCCAGGTTAGCTGTTAAGTACATTTACTTCCTATTAGTTCAAAGTTGTTTTTTTTTACCAATGGAGATAAATTAAAAGTTATTCTACCATGAACTTCAATGGTATAAGGAAACGAGTTTAAACATTTTAAGGTAAGGTAAATGGTTTAAGAATTGATTTTTTCTTTTGCTGTTTTGCTACTGTAAAACATTTCTGCAATAATCAAAAAACAAAACATACAATAAAAAAGAATCACAAAAGTACAGCAAGTAAAACCTTAGTGAGTGTTCTTTTAGTAATATCACACAAAAACCATAAGATTACAGCAGGCTGTTTCTTGAGGACCTACTTGTTATATTCTCATTATATTGTACATTGGGCAGTGCTGTGGTAATCCTGGTAATCCTCAGTAGTAATTTTCAGTTTGGCAGTACCACAGGAATACCACACTCATACCACAGGACTTTTTGTAATGGACCACACTTTGGACTCAACTGAACTGTCTTAAGACACAACATCTCTATGTCTTAAGACAAAGTGATGTCTTAAGTCATGCCTCGTCTTCAAGACACACAAAATAATTACTTCTTTGTCTTAAGACGTTAACTTTCATGTCTCAAGACAAAGACAGTTCTTGAGATGTCTTGGCATAAGAAAATGTCTCAAGACATCTTATAAATACTGTCAAGACATCTTAAGGCACAGTGACAGCTGGGTATGAAGTTATATATTAAAGGAGAAGAGCTTGTAGTCACGAGGACTGCTGTTTATGATATGGGTCTGGCAGTGCAGGGGTTCTCAATCTTTTTCTCCCCAAAGACCACCTGTTTAGAACTGTAAAGCATAGCGGCCCACAGAAAACTAAAATCTACGTTTTTAAAAAGTTTTCTTTTTTTTTCTTAATTGCTAACACTGAAAATCTGTGGATTGGGGCCTGAAAAAGATCAGATCGTCCATTTCACTTCAATCACAGAAACCAAAATTTACAGTTATGTTGAAAAACATAACATGTTTAAATAATAAGAATAATAAAATAATAAATAAATAAATAAAAACATATGTTTGCAGAGATGTCAAAAAAGGGGGAAAAGATGTGGACTGTGATTGTGATTTGGAGCTGCAGTTCATCACGATTTCACTGAAAATACTCTTGTCTTTCCCACAGGAGTCACTGTTTGGACAGGAGTCTCTTTGGTTCTGAGGGTTTTAGGGCCTCATTTGAACCTATAAACCTCACTCCACTCACGCTTTTGGATCATAATAATAAACCTTGATCTCTGCTTCTTTGTCAATAGTTAATCAAGTTGAGTTTAAGTACTCAGGTCGCTGATGCTCGGCCAGAAATCAAACACAGATCACAGCTATTATTTTATGGCTCGTCTGTCATTTTTATCAGCTGCAGCTCAACATGAGAGCAGTAAGTCAGACGTTAAAACAGGCAGATTATACTGACGGTACAGCGCTGACGTGCTGCTAGAAGAAGAGGAAAGCTGGCTCTATTGATGAATTTCCCTCGTTTTGTCATCTCGTCCCACCAGCAGTGAACTGAACAGGGTTCGGTTGGAAGTGGACCGAGACCCGCAGGTTTCAGCTGTTTGTTTCAGACCCGAATACGGGTGGATCTAATGAGTGCGAGGCTGAAGCTTCTTATTCACTGGTTTCTGTTTATAATTTCCCCGTTCCACTTTAAATGGTGCAGCAGTTACACTCTGGTGCCTGAGGCAAGTCTGATGTGCCGGACTGTAACTGTTGTAGTGTTTAAGGTGGAATGGGGAAATCCAAGTAAGAAGCTGACTTTAGCCTCGTTTACTCAGTTTAGTCAGTCAGGAGAGGTAAAGTTAGCTTAGCATTAGCAAATTACTTATATAATAAGTGCGAGGCTGAAGCTTCTAATTCACTGCACTTCACTGTTTTTGATGGGCTGATATCTGAAAAACAACAGAAAGTAAAGCATCTTCAGTTATTTTACAGTCTAAAACGAGTGTACAGGTATGGACCAGTCAGTCATCACATACTGTTCCACATTATTTAATCTTTTGTTGGTCAGGCCGTCTCCGTTTGGCGCAGTGCTGTAAATGAACCCTAACTGTCGCAACTCCATCCTGCTATTCTCCTCTCATGAAACCATTTAAGAAATGGACATGCGATAGATAACATGATGATGAACGACAGAACAGGCAATTTACTCTATTATGATCTGCAGTTTGTTCAGGTACTCAGGCATTTCCTCCGCTTAATCTCATTGACTCACTCAGAGTCGCACACTGTTACACCATTTAGACCAATGATTATTGTCTCCCTCTGGAGGAGGGCCTAGACTACACATAAAGACAACTTGCAGGCTAGCCCCGTCTTCACAATAAGAGTCCTTCAGAATTCCTCAATCCTTCTGTTTTGGTCTTGAATACAGTTCCACCTCTCAGGCACAGTTTTATAAAGGTTAAAATCATACTTAGTATAAAGTTCATGGTGTTACTGGGAAATCATTCTTTAAAAAATGTGAGATTTCTTGTGGAGTCCCACAGGGTTCAGTTTTAGGGCCTTTGCTTTTCTCTTTGTACATGTTTCCTCCACCTAACTTTGCATATTGTATTGTTTTTAGCCGTGTGACTCTCTTGCAGGTGCCCTCCAGGGCTACAGCACACATACAGCATTGTAGCTGTGTTTAAAGTTAAATCAGCGCCTCCATCCACTTCTTATTCTCACTATTTGTCACAACAGTGCAGGAAAACTACAATATGGCTGTTTTGCCAGTGCCTCATGGAGCGTGAGTGAGTTTTACCCTGTTAATGCTTTAAACCAGAAGTAAGCTCTTTGTGAAAAGGGTCCATTGTCTATTTACACCTCATGGGGAGTGATTTAAGGTGTCCACTGTTACAGCCTGTACTTTCTGTGTTTTCAGCCAGAAACTCGTTTTATCTATTTTGGCTTTGTGGCCAGACTACTGTCAAATATTTGTAGCTTCATCTGGGACTTAGAAAACTGTCCTCAAAATGAACTGAAAAATGAATATTTTTAAATATTTTAATATTTCAACTTTTTAATATCTATTTATTTTATTGGCAAAGTGCTGTAAACATAAGAGTAAGATACAAAAGAGTAGAGGCCTGTTTATCACTCTGTTTGTCTGTCTTTGTTTGTCTGTCTGTCTGGCTATCTATCTGTCTGTCTGTTTTTTTGTCTATCTGTCTGTCAGTCTCTGTCTGTCCATCTGTCTGTCTATCTATAACTCTGTCTGTCTCTGTCTGTCTGTCTGTCTATCTATCTGTCTGTCTGTCTGTCTCTGTCTGGCTGGCTATCTATCTGTCTGTCTATCTACACAGCTGAATAATGATTTTTATTTTTATAATTTCTATTTATTTTCTGTTACCTGAAGTAAATAAAGGTGTCAGAAAGCTTCTCTGTGCGACGCTGTTGAAGAACCACATTTGGTTCCCTAAAGAACCCTTCAGTTTAGACAATGTTTTTTTCTGTGTGAAGAAACCTAAAGAACCTCCACAGACGGAGAACCTTAAACTGCTTTCCATCCTGTCTAAATCAGCTCTATAAGGAAGGTCTTCTGTGGCCGATCCTCCTTTTCAGAGCTACTTTGGTGCCTTTAGTCTTCGTAGCTCTTTCTGCTTTATTTCTTTAGTAGGTTTGGTTTTTAAAGCCCTTTAATCAGGAATGTTTCAGGAATGATTTTATTCCTTTGATCTTCTTCTTTCTGGAAAGTTCTGAAGCTCATTTAGAACCTCTACTGTTCTCTGTGTCTGGGAGGTCCTGAAGACCCGAATCCAGAGAGATGCGTTACTGAGTGGAGCTGAAGGCTGCGTCCTCCTCCTCCTCCTCCTCCTCCTCCTCCTGCTGCTGCTCTGTTATGACTCCGTGCGTAAATTGCGTGTTTGTTTCTGGGAATCAGGAGTTTCACTTAGAGAACTGAACTGTGATGAGCTGCAGCTCCGACACTTCACTCTCTCCGGACTCACAGCGCGAGTTTAAGCGTGTAAGCTTTATTTTACAGATGAGTCTTTTACGCTCGGAGCTGCGGAAAAACACAATAATGAAAATAAATAATAAGATAAAATAACAAATGGAGAAAAACTGCGCTTCCAAATATTCTAACTCGCTTAGCAACCGAACACCTCGCGCGCCTTTTCGCCTTTTATAGTCCCCGTTTCCATGGCGCGCGCGGATGACTCGGTCTTTAGTCTATAGAGAGTCTGAGGGTCAGTAAAGTAGTAAACTGGGGCTTTTCCACAAAGCAGGATTTCTCAGCTGAGCCCGAAATCTTAAGCCCAA